CCCTCGAGGAGGGAGCCCGATGTGGGACTCGATCCCAGGACCCTGGGATCATGACCTGAGCCGAAGGCAGACGCTTAACGACTGAGCCACCCAGGCACCCTACGCTGGCTTTCTTAATGCTCCTCTTGCCTCTGATCTTGCCTGCTGTCTGCTGTCACACAGACGTTCCCACAACACAAAATTAATCATATGAGTCCTTTGTGTAGATTTTTTTTTTCTGTTCCCCATCAATTATCAACACCAAAAATTCCATTCAAATCTCTTGGCCTTTTATATGGGAAAGGCCCTTTATGAAGTGACCCAAGTGGATTTTCAGCTGCTGCTTCTCCCATAATTTACCCACATGCAGTTGCAATTAATATATATATATATAAATGGCTTTTCTCATTCCCCCTTTCTGACTCAAAAATGCTGTGAATTCTCAGTGAATCCCTTCTGCCAGGCAGATTGGCTTCTAGTGCTCCTGGAGTATCTCATTAAATCCTCCGAGGGAACATTAATACTCTCAACCACACGTATCTGTGTGTATTTACTCCTCAACCAGACCATGAACATATGGAACATATGGACATCTTCATTTCTGTATTCACAAAGTCTGGGTCAGCACAGCCCATGGAGGAGGCTATAAAAATTGTCTATAGAAGAGATACTGATGGCAGAGTCCCCTCAGAGCTTAGTTTAGGGGAAGACAAACCTGTAAACAATCACAGCTGTGTGATTAGTATTGATCAATTATTTTCAGAGGCTCTCTGCTCAAGGATCGACTTTTCTGTATTTTGTATACTATGCCCATCCCCCACTTTTTCTTGTTTGCCATTTCGGTTAGTAATTATATGTATCAGTTTTCTAATGCTGAGTAACAAACTACTACAGATTTAGCAGCTTAAAACAATGCATATTCGTTATCTCATAGTATCTGTGGGTCTGGAGTCCAGGCACAGCTTAATTGGACCCTTTGTTCAAGGTCTCAGGAGGGTACAGTCAAGGCCTTAGTGGGGCTCCATTCTCATCCAGAGCTCAGGGTCCCCGTCCAAGCTCACTGAGGTTGTTGGCAGAATTCGCTTTCTCGTGGCTGTGAGACCGAGACCCTCAGCTTCTAGAGGCTGCCCATCTACATGGGCAGCTCACAACGTAGCTGTTGCTTCTTCAAGGCCCGAAGGGGAGTGTCTTTCTTCAGGAAGTACCCAGTCCCTCTTAAGAATTTGTATCTCATGTAAGTCAGGCCCACCCCTAATAACTTTCTTTTGGATTAGCTCAAAATCAGCTGGCTTGGGACCTTAATTATACTGTAAAATCCCTTCACCTTTGTCTTGCAATATCACCAAATCCTGGATGCTAGCCTGTCATATTCACAGGTGTTGCTCACCCTAAAGAGGAGGGGATTATGTATGCATGTACAGCAGGGGAGCGGATCTTGGAACTCTGCCTACATCATTCTACCCTTGGCCAGCAGGGACTGAGCCAGCTACAGAGCTCCTACTAAAATCCTTAAGACTCAAGTCAGCCCGCTTGTGTGGGCAAACACCTCGGGATTACGGGGCAGGGAGGGGTTGTCACGTCACAGGGTTTCCTTCATACGTACACGCTGTCTTACAAAGAGAGTTTCTTTGGAAACCCTGAAGGGAGAGAATGGTGCAACTTCCTTGGGAGATTCGACCTTGTCTCAGGAGACTTCCAGAAAATTCTGACATCACTAAATGGTTTGCATTTGGGGTGCCTGGGTCGCTCAGTTGGTTAAGCGTCCAACTCCTGATCTCAGCTCAGGTCTTGATCTCAGAGTTGTGAGTTCAAGCCCCACATTGGGCCCCACGTTGGGCTCCACGCTCAGCATGGAGCCTACTTAAAAAAAAAAAAAAAGATGGTTTGCATTTACTCCTGGAATATTCCTCAGTCAACTAGGAAGGGTCAGATACTGGGGATGATAAATAAGATAGAATTGCCCTGTAATGAAGCTGTTTCCTATAGAGTTGTTCTCAAGTCTTTAGCCTTTATTTAGAGACAATCCCCAAACGACATTCACATGAGAGCTGCAATCCCAGGGTTGTTCTGGGGTGAGGTCAAATTCTTAAATCTTTTTAACTCTGACACACACGCTCTCCTCCTCTCTCCCTCACTCCCCATCTCTTTCACACACATACACACACACACTCACACAATCTAGAATGCAGTGAGTGAATGGTACTGGTATACAATCTGACTTATATTTTAAAGTCATTCCAGGGCGCCTGGGTGGCTCAGTTGGTTAAGCGACTGCCTTCGGCTCAGGTCATGATCCTGGAGTCCCGGGATCGAGTCCCGCA